AAAATATAATTACATATTTTATTTTCAGTTAATATAAAGCTAATACTTCAAAAACCTTTCACTTATAATATCAAAAATATAATTAATATAATTATTTTACTGAATAAAGTATATATTATAAATTACTTATTCATGACGTCGCCAGGGACATATATGTCCCTCCCGCAGCGAACGGTAAAAGGACATATATGTCCTTCCCGCAGCCAGAGGGTTAAAAAGAAAACTGCTCCAAAAAACTTAACCTGGGACGCCGAAGGTATCACATAAGCTCCCCCAACTTCATTGAGGTGAACTAAAACAAGAGGTCCACGGGCCTTGAATCGCTCTTCTGATAAATTGTACAATCTATCACTTCTATTAGAAGCCTCCAACTCTATTAGTATCATAAGACCCAAAATGCATTAACTTACAAAGTTTGATAATATTTAGCCAGTTAAGACTGAAGATGTAATAATATAATTATAAAATACCATAAGTAGGTCACAGTGACCTACCTTTTGATTGAAATTTTCTGAGAACTCAAGGTACAGTAATTGACAAAGACTGATGATTCTAATTAAAGAAATACCTGAGATATTCAAAAGTAGGTCACCATGACCTACTTTTTGGTCAACATTCTCTGAAAACCCAAGATGCATAATCTGACAAAGTTTGACGATTCTAAGTCAATTAGTACCAGAGATAATTAAATATAGCCATCAAATGTCAAAAGTAGGTCACGGTGACCTACTTTTTGGTTGACGTTATCCAAAAACCCAAGATGCCTAAACTGACAAAATTTGATGATTCTAAGCCAATAAGTACCTGAGATATTCAAAAGTAGGTCACTGTGACCTACTTCTTGTTGGTCATTCAATGAGACCCTAAGATGCCTCAGCTGACAAAGTTTGATGATTCCAAGCCAATAAGTACCAGATATAATTAAATAAAGCCATAAAATGTCAAAAATAGGTCACAGTGACCTACTTTTTGGTTGACGTTCTCCGCAAACCCAAGGTGCCTAAACTGACAAAGTTTGATGATTCTAAGCTAATACGTACCTGAGATACTTAAATATAGCAATAAAATGTCAAAAGTAGGTCACTGTGGCCTACTTTTTGGTCGACAATCTCCGAAAACCCAAGATGCCTAAACTGACAAAGTTTGATGATTTTAGGTCAATAAGTACCAGACATACTTAATTATAGCCACAAAATATCAAAAGTAGGTCACGGTGACCTACATTTTGGTCGTCACTCTTCGAAAACCCAAGATGCATCAACTCACAAAGTTTGATGATTCTAAGCCTATAAGTACCTGAGATACTTAAATAAAGCCATAAAATGTCAAAAGTAGGTCACAGTGACTCTATTATATATATATATATTATATATATTTATATATTTATATCTAAATATGCATCGACTCACAAAGTTTGATGATTCTAAGCCAATAAATACCTAAGATACTCAAATATAGCCATAAAATATCGAAAGTAGGTCATCATGACCTACTTTTAGGTCAACATTTTTCAAAGACCCAAGATGCATCTACTGACCAAGTTTGATGATCGTGGGTCTGAAGGTAATCAAAATATGCATTTTAAACAATTTGAAAACAAATGTCAACAAAATTCAAAAAGTAGGTCACAGTGACCTACTTTTTCATAAATATGTTTTAAGGTTGCAAGATACATCAAAGTACAAGATTTGATGATTCTTAACCTCCCAGTGTCTGAAATAATGGGATTTAATGTTTTTAAAAGGATAAGTATTAATGTTCAAAAAGTAGGTCACGGTGACCTATTTTTAAGTTGACATTGTTCGAGGACCCAAGATGCATCAACTGACAAAGTTTGATAATCATAGGCCTTAAAGTGTCCAAAACATGCCTTCAAATCAATTTGAAAACAAATCCCCGCAAAATTTAAAAAGTAGGTTGCCGTGACCTACTTTTAAGTTAACATGATGTGAAGTCATAAGATGCATCAACTTACAAGATTTGATGATCCTAGTCCTTATAGTAAGCAAAATATACACGTTTTTATTAATTGTAAATTTAGGTCAACTTTGAAGTGACCTTGAGACCACGCCCTTTACCCCAGGGTAATTCCCTGTGCAAATTTTAATCTTCGACATATCCTGATCCTTGTATGTAAGTTTGGTGAAAATCTGCCTGGTGGTTATGGAGAAGATTTTTTAGCAACCAGTACTTTTGGTTTTGTTTTCCTGATTATCTCCCCTTGTTTAAGGGTCCCAACCCATATCTAAGTATAAGTGGTAGCCCTTGGGCCAAGGATACCCTGTGACAAATTTGGTACTGATTGGCCAAGGGGTTCTTGAGTTATGGCCCATATTCTAAAAAGTTAAGCACACCGCACACCGCAAAAATGGCCATAGCATTAGCTCTTTGAGCCTTTGGCTCAGAAGAGCTAACAAGAGGCCCATGGGCCACATTGCTCACCTGAGCACCGTGGCTAGGAAAAAGTAAAAATTGGTTTATTATTGAAAAGTTTAAATCAAAAAGTAGTCCCATGACCAATCATGGCTTTGCTTTTCTTGAGAAGGTGATTTTTAAAGAATTTGCCTATATATTTCTATATAAAAATTTGGTCGGCCATTGTGGCCCCACCCTATCCCTGGGGGTCATGATTTGAACAAACTTGAATCTACACTACCTGAGGATGCTTCCACATAAATATGATCAATTATGGCTTTGTTATTCTTGAGAAGAAGCGTTTTAAAGAATTTTCCTATATATTTCTATGTAAAACTTTGCTTGGCCATTTTGGCCCCACCCTACCCCCGGGGGTCATGTTTGAACAAACTTGAATCTACACTACCTGAGGATGCTTCCATATAAATATGATCAATTATGGCTTTGCTATTCTTGAGAAGAAGATTTTTAAAGAATTTTCCTATACTGTAAATGTATTATATTTGGTATGTACGATCTTTGGTGGAAATTCAATTTTCAACAAGTTAGCGTAGATTTGATTTAGCGCTGTCTGAATTTGCTAGTTATAAAAGTTATACAAGACATTTAGTGATGTACTTGAATTAGCGGACTCTGCTTTCCGCCAAAATCGCTAAAAAGAATACACCGCTAAATGTAATACGTTTACAGTATATTTCTATGTAAAACTTTGGTTGGCCACTGTGGCCCCGCCCTACCCCCTGGGGTCATGATTTGAACAAACTTGAATCTACACTACTTGAAAATGTTTCCCCATAAGTTTCATCTTTCCTGGCACAGTGGTTCTTGAGAAGAAGATTTTTAAAACATACCATCAAATTTTCATTAATTCCCAATTATCTCCCCTTGAATGAGGGCGTGGCCCTTCATTTGAACAAACTTGAATTCCCTTCACCCAAGGATGCTTTGTGGCAAGTTTGGTTGAAATTGGCCCAGCGGTTCTTGAGAAGAAGTCGAAAATGTGAAAAGTTTACAGATAGACAGACAGCATACATGTTAACTCTACCGATTTAGGCGGGAGTCTACCGCTTTTTCACTCCATCTCCTGCCTACCGATTTTATTCGTAAATCTACCGCTTTTCTACAAAAGTTTTGTCAAAAGTATTTTTGGTTCACTTGGGTATCCATTTTGAAGCCACTCGTTTTAAAATCTCGTTAGATATCGCGTGATTTGACCCGGAAGCATACAAACGTTTTTTCTTTACAGACGTGTACATAGATTTCAAGCACATATTTGACAAAGACAACACCGCAAAACTCAGTGATTACATTGGTTATGATAAATTTCGTCCACATCACTGCCAATAAAAAGGGGATATAGCATTTAAGAATTGAATGAAAACGTTTGACATTGGCTACAAAAGCACAGGTGCTCGCAAATTTATCAATAAAGTCATTAGAAATTAATCACTCAGTTGACAAAGCCATGAGGCATGAGCAGCTAGTATATTACATCTCTACTTTCGTTTTCAATAATCGCGGGAAATCCAGTTTAATTAATGAAAGATAGGAACTACTGATCTGGATTAAACAATGTCATCATCTGCTGTTTCTGACAGCTGAATGAACATTCAGAATTATTGCTTCCAGACTATATCAACAAAGATGATGCTTCTAATAAATGGATGTTAAGCAGTTAATCAAAGCCAAATGATGAGCATGAAAAATATTTATATTTCATAATTTATGGCAAACTTAAAGTATTCTATCTACTTCATTGCAGTTGATATTTGAGATTATTGCAGTGCTGTGGTCATTTTAGGCCATATTTACATAATATACATCTTCGTAAATCCACGCGTAAAACAATGTGCGCAATGCTACCCCTTTCGAGGTCTGAATCTCCCTATTTTTCATCACAGTAGGTTAACATGGACGCCGGACAAAATGTGATCAGAAAAGCTCACTTGAGCCTTTGGCTCAGGTGAGCTAAAAAGGCTTTGATTGCTTCACATTGGAATATGGGGTAAGAATCATAAGCCTGAATGTAAATTCAATGGATGGTACAATCTCAAGACAAGGTACACAAGATAAACACAAAGGCAGAAAACTAATTGTCAATCAAATCAAAATATCCCATCCCAAACTTAATTTCAGATGATTAACAGGGGTTATAAGACCAGGTAAAAAGGAGGTGCTTATTTCCTCCCCCTTAAGGATTCTTTGGATATTGAAGTGTTCAATAGTGAATTTGTTTATTTTAATGGAATCTATGTCATGAGAATGAAATCATCAGATATACCAAGGGTAGCCTTAAGATGGACTCCATTAGGAATCCGAAACATTAAGGGCGACCAAAGGAGACATGGCAATGATCAGTAGAAAAAGAAATGAAAGATCATGGATGGACTTGGGGCATGGTAAGGTCCTCGTCACAGGCCTTATGTGCTCAACGCACGAAGAGGACTTAGTAAGTCCATAAGTAATGCAATCCAATATACAACTATGGAAAATATATATTTTGACATCCCTAACTGATTATAGATAGTGAAAATTCATTAAACTATTTCTTTGAAAACTTTGTCTCTGCTCTACATAGATAATACCTGTCTTAAAGTTGTAGGTCCCTTAAGAAGTTTGACATCATTTTTCACAGCAGTGAATGGATAGAATTCTTCCCTGTCTGGAAAAGGATCAAGTGAAGCTATTCCTGACATCAGGTTCTTCTTGTTGTCAATGAGCAGCATCTTGAACACTTTTTTCACCTACGAGGGATGTTCAATAAATAATGTCATTAGCTCGATGACATACAAAACAGAAATCATATGACATTAAGCTTGACTTTCTCTCATCATTTAATGAATTGATAACAGTTTATGTGACCACTTTTCATTGCATTATAGTTAATTCTCGATAAACCACCACCTTTTGTAATTTAGAAATCATGGCGGTATAATGAATTTGGCGATGAATTGAATTTCCAATCTTTTAGGAAACAAGAAGAAGAGTTACCGTCCTTAGAAATACCATTTAGCATTTCTATTCTTATAATTACATGTACACGTATATATATGAAACATATTTCTAAATTTGAAAATTCTTCAAGTAATTTTTTATGTACAATTTCGTTAAAACAAAATGTGCAGAAATAAAATAATTACAAGTACATGTGTATGCATATAAATCTGTACGTCTGATATTGAAAAATAAACATGCTGGGTCGATCGTCATGATATATTGCTGACAGTACGTAAAATTATTTCTTGAATAAATTCAGTGTTAATGAAACGTTCACAATTTATACCGTATAATTATTTGTCAAGCAAACTTTGCATTGTTTATAGCAGAGATCATCAAAATAACATCGTATTCGGCGTACTTTAACAACGACCACTTTCGTGGCAAAGCCGTGACTAAATGATTTTTATTAAACAGAAAACAAAATCTTTATAACAGTTCATATTAAAATTCTTGTTTATTTAACTCTTATTTAATTATTTAATTGCATGTACCTTGTCTGACTTTGCATGCTTTACAACAGGGATAGCGTCAACCAATTAGCCGCGCTTCACTGACCGCATGCACCTGTGGCGGTATATCGAGATAACTGACACTTAAAAATAGACGTTTGTTGTGAAAACAGGGTGGCGGATGGCGGTATGTGAATTTGGCGTTATAAAGAGGATTTTATATAGCAGGAGAACCGTTCTTGGAAATCATGGCGGTATTGCGAAAATGGTGATGAATCGAATGGCGATAATTTGAGAATTGACTGTATTTCATTGTGGAAAGCTGGAAAACAAGGGCTATTCGAGACACTGCATTAAAAATGAATGGTCAAGAATTAATAAAAATTGTCAACATCCCAAAAATATATTAACTGAAATATGTGAAATTTACAGTAACCAATGTCTGTTTTATAGACAAACAAAAAATATATATAATGGGCATCAAAAATGGGTACTGTCCTTGGCAACGAGGACTTACAACAACCAATATATATTTGCGAAAATTCAACAAACTATCACTGATTATGTTTTATTGACTGAAAGACATAGCAAAACTGATAGAAATCATTTTGGGGGTAGTTCACACTGTTTTAAAAAAACATTTGGTAGTAAAAATGTTTAAGAGGCTGTCCACCGAAAAACCAGGCAATGGGTGGCACATCGCATGTCATGGATTTTAATTATTTTTTGCATGTAGACTTATTAAAGCAAGTGTTTACACATGACAACATCAAAAAAATTTATAGTGCTTCTCTAGTCCTAGTTTTGGTAAATGCTTAATTTTAAGTGCAAAAAGGTCAACATGAGGGTAAAAAAAATACTACGTTTTAATTTTGTTTTATATGTAACAGATACTCCAGAGGTGGATGTGCCGATGAATATTATTTATAGAATAGACTTTTATCTTTTATTTTATGAATGAATAAGACTCCAATTTATACTTCTTTAGAAAAAATTATCTGGTCCAAATTTGAGTTTAGCAGGTAAATGTTTAAATTCAGTATCCAATTTTAATTATGTAATAAAACCCAATACAATACAAGGACATATTTGTTTACTTATGTTTTTATGAATACAAAGTACAAACTTTTGGTTCATTCAATAAGATCATTGGGAAAAGGTATTTTGAAAGAAATAAAAGGAGTCAAATATTTACTTATTTTTTATAGTTTTCACAAATGAAACCGATCCCGACCGGAATTGTATAAAGAAGAAAATACTAAAATAGTAATGTCAAATTTGGCTCTTTTGTTGTAATATGATTAAGAAATTACTTGATTTATTTTTTAAATATATAATATAGGTTGCAGTTGCCTTTCGTTTGATAAATTTATTAATTTTGCATTATTTTCGATCGGGATCGGTTTTATTTCAATCGGGATCGGTTTTTACTGTAAATTTAGAAAAATTTCCTAAATTTGGCTCTTCATGTTAATTTATCAGAAAAAATGCTTGCCTGTTATTTCTTTTGAGTCAGTTTACTGTTTTTAAATGAGTGTAACCATAGATTCAAATGTATGTATTATTTAAATTACCATTCAGTCAGTTTACTGTTTTTAAATGAGTGTAACCATAGATTCAAATGTATGTATTATTTAAATTACCAATGTCTTTTACTTACATGAAGATTACATGTAAAACATCTGCTAATCCGATTGATTTCTTAATAGATACTAGGTATTTAAAAAAAAAAGTATTTGTGCATGCATTATGCAACAAACAAAGCCGACAACTTTCTAGCTTCATTATTCATCTCATTTTCAAGTAAAATTTCTTTTTTAATTGCCTCAGGAATTAAAGAGTAAATTCTATCAGTAGCGAAATTAAAATTGCCGAAATGCAAGAAATATTTTTATGTGTACAGTCTCGACTTTATCCAAGTTTTTTCTTACCTGTCATCTGTAAAGCCTTTTCCTCTTTTACAAAATTTGATTTTATATAAATAAGAAAATAAGTTCTTTCATGTACAGTATAATTTTTCAAGAGCCGATAAATCGCAAGCAAGAAGCGCGGAAGGGGGGTGCGGGTTAATGGCATCATTATTTTTAAAAATTGATTTCATGAACGTGAAAACATTTTAATATTGGTCAACATACTCAAAGGTTTATACTCCATATTAAATGTGAGTGTGTGATTGTTTCAATCGCCGAATAAAACTTAATAAATAAAATTAAAACACACACACACACACACACACACACACACACACACACACACACACACAAATGTCTAACTAAACCACCTTCCGTTATAGTGCCAAATTATAGTCGGGAGTTTGGCAGTAAATTTAACTCAATAAATATATTTCTATAACTTATTTTTCAGTTCTTTTTTTATACGCCCGTCTTAAGACGGGACGTATTATGTTATAGGCTTCGTGTCCGTCCGTCTGTCTGTCTGTCTGTCTGTCCGTCTGTTAGCTTTTCTCGTGTCCAGCTCATAACTTTAATACTATAAGGCCTAGAGTTATCAAACTTTGTCAGCTGATACATCTTGGGTAGAAGGTGTGTCGCGCACAAAAAGTAGGTAGCTCTGACCTATAATTAAAAAGTTATAGCCAAATATGGAAAAATCCTGTCCGGTTCAGAACTAGAAAACTATTAGACTTAGAATCATCAAACTTGGCCAGTTTATGCATCTTAGGTAGAAGGTGTGTCGCAACCTATTTCAAGATCACTGTGACCTTTAATTTAAGTGGAATTTTTTTTAAAAAAATGTCTTTTTTTCTATTCATTTACACATTCAAAAAAATGTAAAACTATTGCACTAACCTTATTAGAAAAATGTTAAATTAAGAAAATACTTATTTTTTTAGCATATATACTTGACAGCAATCTATAACAAATGTAATGTATGTTAGAGAAATTCCACCACTCCCATGAGTCTAATTATCAAGCACTGGTCAAGAAGAATTTTGATAACAGAAAATTGCATGTCAAATTAGAGAGAGAAATTAATTAGTTTAGTGTGAGGAGTAGCTGTAAGAGCATCAGTGCTATCTATATCCCTTGAGTATTGGGCCAAATGGGTAAGCCTTTTGGATTAAAAATAGCTCTTCTTGGATAGCCAAAGTTTTAAAATGAATTTGATGAGAAGTAATTAAAACTAATTTGATATTGCATATTAAACTATTACATAATATTGTGAACTTAAAAATTAATTTTATGGGGGTAGGGGTTGAATCTGCATGTCCATGTGAATTGCATATTAACAATTAACTGTCTGACATTAAATCTAAAAAAAAAAATCATTGATGTTTTATACGTTTTAAAAATGTTTTATGGTAGATAGTGCAGATCCAATAATCTTTTGGGAGTAATGAGTAGACAAGCATCCAGTTAAAGATTAATTAATGTGTTCAATGTAGGAAGGCTAGCTGCATGTCTCTTTCATTACTCCAGAGCATGCTCTTAATTGTCTCCTTGGGGAATTAAACAGAAGAACTGTTGGTCAGTTTATATTTGATGGCCAGCCTTTTATTTCCAAAATTAATTAGGTATAGATTAAGTTGTGAAGATTAATTTGATATTGTTTAACATGATAGGCATTTGGCAAGGTATAGAAATCTATGAATGATGCAATATTTGTTATAATTAATGCCTACACCACATGAGATGGATAAACAAATTTTTTAAGGTGTGTAAAAATCATTGAAATCTTAAAATCAAGGTTGACATGATTTTCCTGCACTTTTAACTGTTTAAGATACATTATATTTGTAATTTTTTGACGGGCGTATCATGCTGTGGCGTGGCACTTTATTCATTTTTAATCGTACTGTAGATCGTTTATTTTGATTTGATTGCATAGATAAATGTATTTCAGTTTTAGTTTTCAGATCTATCAACTTCGTTGAATTAAATGTTGCGTAAATCTAAAACATTCATCATTGATTCCCAATTTTATAAGAAATGTTCATTATAAACACTTCATTAGTTATTTTAACGCATATCCTGGTAAATCAATTTTAAAAAATTAGTTCTCGGACATGTATGAAATTACTTATCAAAACGTCATCTTGCTGAGACGCTGCCCGGGTACTGTGTAAAATACATTTTGATATTAAAATATTTAACATTTAGTATAATGCACTCTGAAGAGTAATTGATCAGAAAAAGAAAAATCATTTTTTTAAAAATATATTTTTACACTTTACGGAAAGAATTTACGAGCTTCTCTGAAAAACTTGTAACTATTTCATTGTGACGCAATATATTGACGTCACTGATACAAGTACATCAATGGAAACGTTATTT